CTTATTGATTGATAGACTGAGTCAACCTCATCAAAAGCTGTTTAGATAATTCATTATCCGCCAAAAAGTCATCCTCGTAAATTAACAAACGCAAAGTCATACATTACATAAATAATGTCTTCGACGTCATGACCAGATTACTGAAGCCTTTTTGGAATCACTGTAGTTCACAAGCCCACAAAGTCTCCTCACTCTCTGTCATACAGGCCAAAATATACATTACTGAAGGGGGACAAAGAAAAAGTTATCTTGGAAATGAACTGCGGAAACTGCAAAAAACATTACATCTGACAGAGTCATCACACATTTCCTATCCATCTTATTGAACATCAATCAGCAGTGTAGTGTAGCGTCATGATATAACTTTGGTCGTATTGGAATAAACACATCTATGGATACGAATTTAGCTGGGAAAATGTTGAGATGCTGGGTAGAGAAAATACAAAGAATGCTAGAAAATTTCTAGAATGTTGGTATTCAGGTCAGTCAGAGATCAACAGACATATTGACATTGATCCAGTCTATCAACCAGTAAGAGACAACAATAGAGTTAACTGTCACGTCAGGAATGGGAATAACCGAAATAAAGATGGAAGGAATTTCAGGCGTTTGGCAGAAACAACTGATCACACGCGAGGCCGTCAGGATAAGTTACTAAGTTACCTGTGGAGAAAGCCTTACAGCTTACTTCTTCCTGAAGTTTGTGCTGATGATGTTGTTGGAATTACAATGACTAAGCTTTATCATCTGCATTTGAAACCCCCCTAAAGATCCAAATGAGAGGGGAAAGTTCCGGAAATTTAAACGTGAAGTGATGAGTAGAGTGATATTACTGCATAGTGCTCATTAGCGATATGCTTCGAAATGGATATTCCAAATTTCTAATGAGAATCCGTGACTAGTGGAGTTGACCAGTCGGAAGTGAGGCAATTGCTGACTGAAGACCTGTTTGGACAGTCGCACTATATCGCGAAGTTACAGAAAGAGGAAACTGTAGAACATTGAAATATTACCCAGCAGCCCAGTGGTTAACACATTTACTCTGAAACCCTAATGTTCTGATTTCGAACCTAGTCATCGCTGTAGGTGTAAACCGATGGGGAGTCCCATTCTATTACGAAGCAGCTGTCCATTACTCACAGGTTATCATTGGTTTTCCAGATGATATCACTCTATGATAAATACAACCTTAAGGAATTATGTATTTAAGGCGAAGGAAACAGAGTGCGAATTCAAAGTCTCATTATTCAAATCTAGGACATTAGGTCCAGTCTACACAGTGTTTGAAACCAGTTAAGTGAAAGTACTGGAATATCATACTGTTCATTTCAGTACTTTTAAGTAGAAGTTAGCTTAAAAATGCTATTATACTTTTCACATATATTCTCTCATTTGAGTGTGCGGGAGATGTTTCTAGGTATAAATTACAAATATTTAATAATACAATAGTTGGGATAGCACTTGAAAAATCATTACAACTTGATGTAACTATTCATCAAATTTCCACTATAAAGTAGGTTTGTATCGTACACAAAGAGGCTATTTCTGTACCTCGGTGAATAGACTTCATGTGTGTATGGACAGAAATTCACTAGGTGGCTGAAAACTGCTCAATGGTTATCGAATTTCAATGGACCACGTATGCTTTCTTGTTTGATTTGATATTCGGGCTTGTAATTCTTCGTTGTTGATTGAGGCTGACTTTAACTGATGAGGTAGCCAACGTCATTCCTCTGTTTTGTGGAAATGTACTTTTTCAGCCGAAATACCGAGGCCTGATTGATCATTTTAGTTATCACTACAGTGGCCTTTAAAGTCTACTTTAATTAAGCCCAATTATCTGGTCAATTTTAGCATATAGGAGGCTGTACAAATGCCTCAGTATTGCCGGAATTTTCAGGTTTTGATATTATTGATGAACAGTGGGTAGCATCGGAATACAGTAAGAGGGTTTATTCTAATTTTGCACTCACCAGCTGCATGTATCTGTCTAACTTAAACTGGCATTTATTCTCACTAGAATGCTGTGCCCTCCAGTTTATCATGTAAAGCAGCCTACGGTACAACTCAGGAACAAATCTATTTTTTTTATTTTTCCTAACATTTATTAAGAAAAATTATAGTTAAGCTAAGCACACTGATAACAGACTTCTAATTCATGACAAATTAACCAGTAGCTTGCAGGAATTTTCATTGAACAAACCCTAGAGTTAGTCTAAACTTTGCGAAATAAATGGTGTCACCCCACAAGTTTTACACTTCATAAGGTCTGATGAATCCTTATCATTTAACAGTCTTCCCTTACACTCTGCTTGGCATTTTAATTTATGTACAGAACATTTTCTTGTTTGAAACTGAAATTTATGTCTGCTCAGGTTTAAGTCTTTGTTTGCTTTGTTTGTGCAGTTCAGTTTATGGTGTTGCTTGCAGCACGCCTTACAAAAGCAGTCTGCAAACATACAAGTCATTCACTGTATACAAAACCTGTGTTTTACGTTATCAATAAACATTTAGTGTTTTGGCTCGTAAACATTGAGGTGAACGAATAGAAATAGGACGTTTTTTCCAGACCATATTTCTTAGGCTTGCAGATAATAATCAAAACCATAGTTATAGAACTGTAATCAACTCCGAATTTCACTTTTAAAACTGTGGATAAATTTAAATACTTAATACTGTACTTAAATTTACATAGTAAGCACTTTTGGATCAGACAGTTGAATTCTAACTGATTGTGCAGGCTGATGACCACCGGTCAAATGGTTGCATTGCCTAAGTGTTTGTTCTAATCCTATGACCTTGGAATGTGAACAATCACCAGCAGTATATCCGTTATGCTTTTATCTGTAAACCTCGAGTCAGTCATTAAAACAAAAATATGTCGATTAGGATTAGCTTAAGCAAAAGATTATCTTAGGGTCTTGGTGAAAGAATAAAGACAGAGCAAACTAGATAAAAGAAATTGCTAATAATTCAGAAACTCATATCAGCTCATGTAATTGTGAACAAAACATTGTTTTAAGATTTCCTGTTGTGTCAAACTGAAACTAATCTGACATGTTTGTTTTTTAGAAATATCTAGTGTATGTACTAAAGTTAAATTCAGTTTGGATGTGTATTATTTTCAATTCCGTTCGATTACAAAACAGTGGAAATATTTTCAAACCTTTTGCACTACAGTATAACAAACCTTATTCTGTGTTGCACGATCTTATCACAGGTAATGCTTTATGCATTAATATTCCTAACGTAGTAGTCATGAGCAACAGCTATGCCTGTAACTGACCTAATCTGTTCCAGACGACTTGAAACATATTGAGTTTCAAAGAATTTGTTTGATCTGGGGTCGGTTTTTTTGCCAGCTGTCATTAATATATGTTAACAATGAATGTAATAACTGTATGATCGCCATTCATTTCCCAAGGCTTATCGATAAAAGGTTAAACTTCTTCGATTTTGTTAATTATATAATGACGTGCACACGTATGTAATACAGTTGTGCAGAAACAAGGAATAATGAGAAATTTCGACTCAAGATGATACAGTTGAAGTTGAGAAAAAAGTGGTAGGATATCGTAAACATACATCATCATACTGATTTGAACTCACTCTCTTATGATATTTACTATTAAATGTCATAAAAAAGTGCCACATAGAAAAAACTATACTCATATTTTTGTTGATACACAAATTTGGTACACCAGGACATGCACCATATACAGTAATAAGGCAAAATTATGAATATGGAAAACAGAGACAACATAAAGGTAGGCTATAAAAAAGCAATCTTAAAGATACATGACAGGAAGTATTCACTGCTTGTGTTTTACTCCTCAACAATAGCAAAGAAAATAAAACTGGATACCGATCACCACTGCTTTCAATTCTGAGACATTTCAGCTATTTTCTCTAGGTATTGAGATGCATGATCTCTCAGAATCCATTCAAGAAGTTGTGATTCATTTTGATGTGTTCGGTAAGCTGGATGGTTTAATTGTAAAGCTTAATCATTGTAATTCCAGACAACATCATCAGCACAAACTTCAGGAAGAAGTAAGCTGTAAGGCTTTCTCCACAGGTAACTTAGTAACTTATCCTGACGGCCTCGCGTGTGATCAGTTGTTTCTGCCAAACGCCTGAAATTCCTTCCATCTTTATTTCGGTTATTCCCATTCCTGACGTGACAGTTAACTCTATTGTTGTCTCTTACTGGTTGATAGACTGGATCAATGTCAATATGTCTGTTGATCTCTGACTGACCTGAATACCAACATTCTAGAAATTTTCTAGCATTCTTTGTATTTTCTCTACCCAGCATCTCAACATTTTCCCAGCTAAATTCGTATCCATAGATGTGTTTATTCCAACCAACCGACCAAAGTTATATCATGACGCTACACTACACTGCTGATTGATGTTCAATAAGATGGATAGGAAATGTGTGATGACTCTGTCAGATGTAATGTTTTTTGCAGTTTCCGCAGTTCATTTCCAAGATAACTTTTTCTTTGTCCCCCTTCAGTAATGTATATTTTGGCCTGTATGACAGAGAGTGAGGAGACTTTGTGGGCTTGTGAACTACAGTGATTCCAAAAAGGCTTCAGTAATCTGGTCATGACGTCGAAGACATTATTTATGTAATGTATGACTTTGCGTTTGTTAATTTACGAGGATGACTTTTTGGCGGATAATGAATTATCTAAACAGCTTTTGATGAGGTTGACTCAGTCTATCAATCAATAAGAAACAACAAGAAGAGCCAATGAGACGGTATGCATAACACATCTACAAACTACCAAAGCCGATGTTCGCACTCAACGAATGACAGTCTCTATCAGACCCAAGCAAACGTCGCTTTGTCTCATAGCTGCTACCATAGTGTTTCCACTGGGTCCGAGAAATCCTATGGAGAAAGCGGTGATCGAGAGTGCTGAATTGTCAGACATTTTTGGATAGTAACAAATTTTCTATTCCAACATACAATGATAACACCATTAAATGCTAACTAATTTTTAGTTTGTCAATTAATATTGTACAGTGACAAAAATAATTTCAAATTGGTCAGGGTATTGGAGGTACCGTTGCAAATTGGGACTCCTTTCTTTGAAAAGATGATTCAAAAATAGCAGAAAGTAATCAAAATTGACAAGCATTGAAACCCTGGCGATGAGAAATTAAACGATAGATATTACGATTTAAATGAACACGGATAAGGTGCATTTGATTTCTGCATCAATACGTGCAAATTTAGATCAATTACCCAAGAAAAATTATCCTTCAAAATCTGGAAAGTGGACTGTAAGGGTTTTCAGGAACTAATATTGTTTGTCTTCTTTTCATAACGTAAGTGACACCGAACTATATTTCATTATGTAAACTGATATTAGTTATCACTTCGTTAAAAGTCTTACTTAGGCATAATTAATTTTGTGAACGCAGAAAGACAGTTAATAGCACAAAATTAGTCTTTTAATCAGAACCGTTCAATTTTGTTACTCGAGGTTGTTTTGATAACTTTTGAAGATACCATGGGTAGCCTTTTATTTTGGGCGTAAATTATTTGTTTTCCAACCAGTAATGTTGGCAGTTTTTTATATTCTCAAAAGAAATTAGCCATTCGATTTTGAGGATATAGGGATTTACTTACTTCAGGTTGGTGTTCATCATGGACTCATATCAGTTGGAGAACCACTGGGAACTTGGGAGCACCGAAAAGCTGTTTAGTCCTAGTACGGAACAGCTCAGCAGTGTGTATCACAACCTCACGCAACCAAGGGTTGAACTCAGAACCTTCAGGTTTCATGGTCACCATGTTAGTATTGATCCACCGGGTAGGAATCCAATGATCCACACTTCTGTTAGTGCACGATATATCATAACCTCCATCATTACTGTCGTTAAGTAATTGTCGTGACAAGTGGAGCCAACCAAGTCGAATATGAGGACAGCTACACAATCGTGGAGATGAATAGACGTCGCACTGTATCGTGAACTGATAGAAGTAGGAACTATGCACCATTTGATTTCGACCTGGTGGATCAGTGGTAACGGGGTAGCCACAGAACTAAAAGGCAATGACTACACAAGCGAACAAAATCTTTCCATCCCTTATTTCGTACATATTTTTATTGATTTCATAAATACTTTTAGAAATATATAAGCATCAAATATTAAAACAGCGTGCATACTATTTTTCCGATTCACTGTTGTTAATTACTTGACTCTTGGAAAGCTGTCCCAACAGCTATGACTATGAAATCCTCATTTACACTCTCAATAAAAGTATAAATTACAATGTCCTCAAAAATATTCAATAAATTGTCGTTAACTGTCTCGATCCTGTGATAAAGTCCTTAATACTATAGTTTGGCTCCTTTACATGTATATCAAAATGTTGTATCTTCTCCTTGGTTGGTACTGCAAATATCATAATGGATAGTATTATATGAATATGATGTGTATAAAAGCAGCTGACTTTACAAACACTTTTGTAAATGTGTCGCATGGGTGTAACATAAGAACATTTCTAATAATCTTTTCGTAAATTATTATTATTGTTTGTCCCTTGGGTTCCTAGTGGAACATAGGGATTCACTAACACGTCACCATTTCACTCTCTTCTCTAGAGTCTTTCGAACCTGGCTCCACGACTGCCCACGAGCTCTCATTTCTTCCTCACTGAATAGAGGTAGTGAATGGAGATCGTACTGTTACGCGGAGTAACAGAAGAAGGAAATATGTAAAATTTGATCTCGACCCAGTGGATCATTTGTAACGTGCTGGCCATGAAATTCGAAAGTTCTGAGTTCAATCCTTCCTTGCATGGTGTCGTGGTGCCCACTGCTGTGCGGTCCTATATTATGACAAAACGGCTGTTCATTGTTCTCAGTTTTCCAGTGGTTATCCGACTGATGTCAGTTCATAATGAATACCGACTTGAAATCAATGTCATTTTAATTCAAGACAAAATCAGATCTTTCGTCAAATTGCACAGACAGTTCTAAATAACTATGTTGTTTTTTCAAACAATTGGGAATTTTAATTAGTTTAAAACTTCATCATATTGCCAGCGCTTAATGTATTTAAAAGAACTAACCATTATGCGGATAAAATACCATCTTTCCCAATATAATTTCCAGTATGCAGCTTGATCATTTGTTTCGATCTGCAAGGCTAAAATGTAACAAGAATGTAAATTCAGTAATTAATACACAGTCTACTCTAGGAATGCATAAGGTCTCTATCCTGGCTTGGATTTTAGTAATATACAGTTTAATTGGACCTTCAATTTCAAAAAAACTGTTGAGTTTATGTTCTCTATTTAGCTGTTGGACAGTCAAATATTTTCGCACATCTTTAAGGTGTAGAAAACTGTTGTATAAGTACAGGCTGCTGCTGAATAGATAGTTGCTGAATGTCTCAAGAGAAGCCAAACTATGTGCACATTTACCATTTTTATAGCATCACTGGTCACTTTGAATGCAATGAAACTCTTATTTGTAAAACTATTGGAGTACAAAAGTCAAATAAACTGAAATGTTTGCGTTATCATTTCAAAAAGCACAGCCTTTTCTAAACACAGTCGAGATTTAAAAACAGATGATACACTGATATAAGTTCTATTACAAGAGGAAAAATTGTTTTCATTTTACCAAGTGTGAAAGTGGTAGTGTAGTCTGAACAACAATCATTTCAATGTAAACCATATTCTTAATGTTTTGATCTGCTGAAACATAAATTATTACTTTCATTTTGTGCAAATTATTAAAATTGTCGATATTTTGATACAAGTTAAAAAGAAATAAGTGAAAGCACTGATTGGAGGGTCTACACAACCAAGCACTCACATGCATTTAGTATTCCCGGTTGGTGAACATATTTTCCAGTGAGGTTGACGAAACTGTCCACAGTTTTGATAAACAACGATGGATAAATGTTCTTCCTCTTCCAAGTATATGGCCATATGAAAATTAATTGGTGATCAGCATTTTTCTTATTCGTTTGCTGTTCATGATTTATAGTCACCGTCAGATGAACTTTCTCCTCATCCCTGTTTATTTCACTTAGAAAACTGAAGAAACGCTACATGTATGTGTGTGTTTCAGAAGTGAAGAAAGATATAAAATGTAACTCAATATTCAGGCTTCAAAAGTGTATTTAATGTTGAATCCAAGTTTTATCACTTCATTTCCAAAGTTTTTGTCAACAGTTCGTTTCTAAATCACTAACACTAATTTTTTCACTATGTAAATACTCGATTGAAAGTTGATGAACGGAAAATATAACGTGCACATTACCTATATCATGGGTTGGTTTATGTGTATAGGTGATACAATGAAATGTGAGCAAGTAAATAAAGTTCAAGGCGTAGCTACAGGCCAGTTATTAAGTAAGTAAGATTCGGAAGTGATAATAATACAAATGTCTGTGTACAAGCCTGCAGTTTAATTTTGTTTCGTGGAGCATAATACTACTATTTATTTGTTCACACCCAAATCAGTAAAAATTGTTCCGTGTCAATACGAACATAGTTTGTCAACTGGTTGAACACAGACTCACCGGTAGATGTGATTTATACTGTGAATGGTTTAATCGAAGTTAACAGTGATACAGTATGCTCTTCAGTGTATCTCTCTGGAGGTTATTTAATAACTTCTACGATGGAGAATAAATGATAGTGTGACGGAGCATTTTTGACCCCAGAATCAAATGCTCTGTACGCTTCAATGAAGAGTTTAAGGATAGATATTTGTGACAATTTCCCCTGGTCATTTACTTTGTTACTTTCTTTTCAGACATTTGCTTCATTCACTACTTCACTTTTGTAAACTGAATATTCTTACAACGGTAATAAACTGTTCAGCTTGTTTCAAGTGGTTCACCTGATAACTATAAGACATAATTACCACATTCACTTAATGATTATTTCTTAAGCGCCTCACTACCTGATTGTAGACAACATTGCCTATGCTTTCTCATATCTATCAGTCTTATGATTAACACAACATTCTATATGCACAAACCTTTTCTCTGCATTTTTCTCCCACTTCGCCTGCATTGATAACCTTTACGTTTATGCGGTTAAACATGTCCAGGTATAGACGCAATAGATCAGTTATGAAACAAAACCATTTACGGTAACAGATATGCGTAATTTATATTTGACTGACTGGAACGACATGAAGCAATCAACATGTTTTCGAAATGTCTTTAAAATTAGTCACAAAATATGTAGATTGTATATAGGAATAGTTTTCTTACTAGAAAGGAGTTTCGAAGTAAATGTTCTCAGTAAGACCGTAGTTTAATGTAAATGCTCACTCTTCACTCTATTTCATTTGTTAGCCAAACTATGTTAAGGTTGTTTGGTGCAAACTTCAGTTAATCAAGAATGCGCTATGTTTAAAAAACTATTTAGTTAAATCCTATTAATTAAAAAGATAAAAACCTCCTAAAGGTAAAACGATGTAAATTATTCTGCATCAAGGTCACCACCTCTTTATACAGAAGATAATAGCTGTCTAGAATGCTGAGGGTACTAGTAACCCAACAATCAATCAAGCAATAATACTAAATCAGTAGTGTAATTTGAATAATATAAACTCTGATTTAATTTAGAGTCTGTCCTTGTAAATGAGTTCAAGTGATAGGAGAAACTTTTCCAGTTAAAATCCTACTGCAAACAATTCAACAATTCCTAAATAACACCACGATTTATTGTAGGCTTTCATTCGTATCTTAGATATTGTTTATTAAATGCTCAATCAACACACCTAGGAGGGAAAAAAACACTCAATAAACTAACTACCTGTTTTAAAATGTTTGACTTCAGATAAAAACCAACATACTCCAACTTTTCTCCTGCACCGTATTCGGAAGGCGGAAAATGATTTTCATAAATTGTCAATTCAGTTTCAGTATCTTTTGGTGCTTTGCTATTCAACAGTTCAATAGACTTAAGTTTAAGCGTTTTGTTACCGTAAACATTATTTCCATTATTTGACTGATTGTCTTCAACTGCATAAAGTAGTTGTCGATATGGTGTTTTGATACTTAAAGATCTCTTGTGATCTTCAGACCAATACTGGATGCAAAATGCACAGACACTAGATAACGAATCTAGATAAAGTAAGACGTCAATGTGCCTTTTTTGGTGACTATTGAACACAGTCGAGTTGATTGACCTTCTCCGTGTTCCCATGTTAAACGAATACATATTTTTATCTTGATTAAACGCGTCGTAGATTGCATAGGTGTAAAAGACTGGCTTTCCAATTTCTTCTTTTGTCTCAAAAACATGAAATTCCACTGTAAGTGGTCCATGTAATTCAGATATGAAGAGAAGTTTTGCATTCATTTCAGAATGAAACACAATGTTTGTGTTTATTTGTACATTTGTTGTTGTTGTTGTTGTTGTTATGTTTCTGTCAACTCGGTTATTTGTTTCTGAAGAGAAATTTATCTGCATGTGGCTATCGTTCAGGAAGTTTTCAACATATCCTTGATAAATTAAATTGTACACTAATTGTTCTTGTGATATATTTTGTTTAAGTATGAATACACAACGAGTGGATGAAATCGAGGACAATTTGGAAGATAAATTAAGATTTGTTGACAATATTCGCTGAATTTGCATAATCCCTACTTGCTTGTATAGTTGTAGTTTGAAAGTAAGATTGAATAGATTCGAGGTTTCTATGACAATTTGTAGAGAACAATCGGAATTTACATTCGGTTGTTTGGTAACCACCTGATTATTGTTTATCTGCTTATGGTTGTAAGAATTTGTATACTGTGACAGTTTTGAAATGAAATTCAAAAGGTTCGTTGTTAAGTGAACAATCTTTTCAATGATAATTACAAGGGTGAAATCTATAAAGTTGTAGCTTATCATTATAATATGATCCTGATTAAAAAGAATACAGAAACGAAACTGATGGTAATCGTTTGTGACTTCAATTAGCCAATTTTGATTTTGTTTAAACCCGAGAAGTTTATTTATATACATTTCGGCTTTCAGGAATGGCATTTGGGTAGAAACAGTGAAATAGGACTTATGATGAATTGCTTTTATCTTCTTAATGTAACAGTCAAACAATATTAAATGACTGGAGCTTTTTCTTTCATTTTCATAGGTTACATCGATTTCATCTATTTTATTTTCAGTTAAAAGTGGTAGACTTGAAGTGAGATTAAGTTGAAATAACATTAGGGAAACATTATTTTGCTTGATCAAGTGTAATAAATAAATTGACACATTGTACTTAACTTGACAGGTTTCTAAGAAATTCAATATTCTACGAGATTTTTGTCTATCAAATTCCAATATTTCAATGGTTTGAAGGAAATTCCCTAATCTGTCAGCATCAGAGAATATTGAGAAATTCATCATATGGTAAGAAGATAGTCCTCCTGAATTATTTTCAGACTTTTGTATATTTAATAACACTGTTAACTTGTTGTTTATATCAAATGTAATCGATAACTTGTGTTCACTTTGCAATACGGCTATCTTAGAAGTAACAGCCTCATCAGAATTTCCACCTTGTTTAAACTCAATCAAGTTATTCACATTTTGTTCGTTGTATATGTTCCGTTTAATTTCACCATTTGAATATGTTGAGTAGGGTAATACAAAGCCAGGTGTTATAATTTCAATAGAGAATTTTGAATCCTCTATACTACATTCATTCACAAAATGAATATAAATCAAATCCAACTTTCTCCATTTACTGTCAATATTTTTGTTTATTAATTTAAAGTAGAATTCAAAAGGGCTAGAACATGTTCTAATTTCATCAATAAAATATTCTCCACTTGATGACACCTTCAATAGAGCTGATATTTTTGGTAAATATGGCTGAATCTCAATTGATCCATTGAAATATAGGCTATAATTTTGAAGTGTTAATTCATTTTTCATATGTAAGTCGATAATTTTCAGGTTATTAAATTCAAGTGGAATGACTGTTATTTGAATGTCGATGATTTCAAAGGTTTTACTCTGAAAATAAATCTTTAAAACATCAAGATCTTGATAACTTATTCGATTGTAAACTTCATATGAAGTTGAATTAGCAAAAAACTTCAATGTTTGTTCACTTGAATAACAATAATTTGATGGCTGATCTTTACACACTATAACATAATGAAATACTGTCTTCTTATTGATTTGGTCATGAAAGAGAACGGTGACATTTTTAACTATATAATTAATATCATAATATGGGAGTACAAAATTTCCATTCATATAATACAAATTGATACTGTTACCTGTTCAGATTTGGTTATGACAGATAAATTGCCATTTATCACATTGTTCCATAGCTTATCGATAAAGTGGTAATGTACACGGAATTCATTACTGGTATTACTGAGCATAGCCAGTGCGTATACTGTAGAGTTCCATTGAGCTGAAAGTTTTTATGGATTTCCTTATCTGACTGTTTACTTGTATAGGATAAGGAGGCCAAGTGATTTTCACCTTTATTTGTATCACACTGGAATCGCATATCATGATAAATATTTAACGGTTTGATTGATTTGTTCTTAAATTCAAATGTCTGATTTAAATAAAATGGATTCGATGATCGATTAATTGAAATGAGTAAGTTTTCATTTATTACTAATACCGATATGTTTCTTTCTAAGTGATAATAAAAGTTAAACATCAGTGGTAAACATGGGCTGAACATAGTGATGTTTGAAAACGTAGGGATTGAAGACGTTTTGTCATGTTGAAGTTTAACCTTACCCTCAAGATATGACTTTCCCGAAAAAACAGTAGAAATTTGAAGATTGGCATACATCTTCTCCAGGGTTTGACTGTATTCAAATTTATTTTGATGTATTAGTCCGGGTCTTCCAAATCTTAATAAAATGTTAAGTTTATTATCTTCTTTGTTTTGCACTATAAATAATTCGCCCTGATAACCTTTTGTTCCACGACCTTCATAGAGACGATAGCCTGCTATAGCACGACTGATGAAACGTATTTGATTCTCTGAATGAGGTGGACTAAATTCATATTCTGCCATCGCATTTACCATTTCATAGCCAAAATGATGACCCATTAACTGAGAATCCAATCCAAACTCAAGGTTACCAAACTCATACATTTCACCGTGTTTGAAAAACACTCTTGCACGTACAGGTGAACCGGGCCCCATAGAATTACTTGTGCTATACTCAGCGCTTATTTCGATAAGCTTCTGGTTTGAATTCAGATTAAGAGCATAATTAGCGTTTAAATAAAACCCACTCAACCATTCATTTGGAACATATGACTGAATGGAAATCATATTCGAGCCGCCAAAATGATAAATGGTATCCCATCGATGTTTGTAATGGCAAACAAAATTACCAAGAGATAAAATTAAACAGTTCAAAACAACAAAGGTTGATTTATTCAAGGATTTCCAGCTGAAAGTGAGATTATTTTCCTCACCTGACTGGGTAATCAGTTTTAGATTTGTGTTGAATAACCATTTGTGACTAAATTTAAAGTTTGAACTCCATTCAATGAGAAATTTGGATTGATTGTACAACTGAATATCAAACAGTTTCAATATACTTTCACCTTTGAATTTTGTCACGTCAATCTTTAATTTTCCCTCACTCTCTTTATTTATCTTATAAGTTGGTAAGAACAAGTGAATTTTGGCGGCACCAATGAACTTTATATGGAATGGCGTAAATTTCATTTCTGGGTATAACTGGAAAATCAATTCAAACTTGGAAATTAATCTTGTATTTTTCATTTCACTAATGTCATTATTAGTATTATCAGAAATATTATTGGTGGCGTTATTGGTAGCGTTCAGTGCTTCCGTTTGATGTAATATAAGCAATTTATGCTCGTCTAATTTGTACATCAATTGATTTTTAATTTTTAAGTACTTTATGTGATTAAAATATACTAGATGATCTACTGTTAATCCAGTGTACACATCTACAGGTGTGAAATCATAAATAGTTAGCACATGAACTGTGTGTAATTTTGGCCACTGAAATGTGAATTCGTATAGATTACGCCATGGTTGTAACCAACTTTTTAATGAATACACATTTTGGAAATGCGGATCATCATATTGCATAAGAACGTATGATAATAATTGTTCTTCACTGCTGTACATTAGCATTAGTTTCACAGACTGATTCATGGGTAATAATTGGATTTTTGTAAGACTGTCAAATTTCGTTAATGCTCCGAAAGCGGACAGCTTCCAATCCAGTTGATTGTCTAGAGAAAAGTGGATCTCCTAAAAGCCAAAATCAATTGAAGAGGAAATTATTTTAATTTTAAGTAAGCCAGTTTTATAGTTACAGTAAAGTCGAACGATATGGAATGGGACTGAAGAATGAAGTTGTTGGTTTCAAAGTATCTGAATAACTTTGCGATTATAGCTGTTAGGTGGAAAAACTGTACTCTTTTTCCGACGGGTATTCATTCATCAGTAAGGTGGTTTTCGTGCATCAAGTCCTAATTGTGCTTGTTCACCTTATCTAGAGCATAATTTCAACCAGTTATCACTAGGTGTTGATAAAATTCCGAAGATCACCTTATATAAATTACAGTCTAATTCTTTACAGAAATAATCCTGGAATTTGCTTTTAGTCGAGACACCAAGTTGTCTTGGAACATTTCTTAGAAATGGTCAAAATATACTTCAAAAAAACCATTGGAGAACTATTGAAAACTGGGGACACCAGAGAGCTTCTGTGTCCAGTATGGGGATTTTTAGAATTGCGCATTCATTACACTGCTGGAAGTCGAACTGGAGGATGTTTAAACATCACTGGAGAGGAATGAAGCCATGAACTGAATAACCGTAGACAATTTTATTTTCATATATTTGCACAGAATATTCGTGACTAGGGTTATTGATAATAACACGAGTCACTTACCGTTGAGATACAAGCTGCCAGAACATGTAGCGGTAATCAGTTTCTTTCTCACTATGAATTAACATGAAGGATGAAAACAGGCGGGTGGTATTTTGTACTGCGAGATTTTTACCGTTTGTAGTTCGTAGGTGAAGACAAAGATTATAAGTCTTTATCAAAGAAATTGACAGTAGATCATCTGAAATTTATGCCATAGAGCTTTTCAACATCCAGATTGGTATTAGTTATTCGCATAGTGTACTTATCTAAGCGTAAATAAACTGGGCGAGAATGTCATTGAGTTAAAATTATTGTCACCCTAACTAGTTTGAAATCAACTGTATGATGCCTATGTCTCAAAATTTTCATTTTATTGCAGAAACCGCACAGTTTTACAATGTAATGCACTTTCCTTACCGGAAAAGAAATGTTGCACTTAGTGGAAGTCAGACTATGATTTTTAAGCACTGATTTAGTTCAGTAATTAGATGCATGTGTTCTGCGACTAAGTTTTTCATCCGAAATAAAACACATTGGACTCGAAAATAAACGTTAGCACTAGATACTTGAGTATGTCATATCCTTGAACACAAATCAGTTTGCGTGCGTGCGGAAGGACAGTTAGGGTGGAGTGACCGAATTATGCAACCAAGGGTGGTAAGTATTGGGAAGTGGCTGGAAAAAACGATTACATACGTAAACTCTGATAAACACATAACACAAATGGGAACCGTCATTTGTAATTTAGGAACTGATCTGGTTGGTGAACCCTGATTATCGGTATCAGTGGTCTAGAACTACTCGCACCAATCAGTCAGTGGTATGTTACGCATGCTTTAATTTTTACAATCTTGACACTGCTTCTGGTGTCAGGTAGGTTACATTGTGTTCTGAATATTTTGATTTCCCTTGGAAATCATGGTGATATTTCTCACCACGGAATGCGCACTTTGCAAGAACTTTATTTGAAATTGTGTATGACCAGTCAACTCAAGTGGCTAGCAGCAGTTTGAGTGGTCGGAACCAATCGGGTCTCAGAGTTGAATCAGTTCAGGTACACTGGTGATGAGCTTAGCTTCAAACGTGTGAAATGGCTGTCTGTCTACCGTTTAGATCACATTTAGCTTACTAGCAAACACTGCTGATCAGTGTGAGTGGTCAAGAACTAACGTTGCCATTCTATCTGTAGTATATTACACGGAGTTTTATGAGAATCGATCGTAGGATTGACACTAGAACAGTCTTCAAATCATCACAGCAATTAGGACTATTGACTTAAATTTAATGAAGCCTTAATTGTGTAGAGGTTTAAACGCCCTTGAGTGATTTTTATTTAAGTCAGACATTCTTGAGGTATATTTAAAGTTCGTGCAGAGGTGTGTTATCTTTCGTTCATCAAATCTTCACATCTTGTATGGAATTTATTCAATCATTTGTCCTCACTGTATTTTAACTACTCTTACTAAATGCTTCGAAAGCAAATATGTGGTCAGGTTATTGGAGTTTATTGCCTAAATACATCAAATTCCCCCAGCCAACGTACATATATATTATGTAAATGCAGTCTGAAAAGTGGTTACTCAGTTAATCCACGAAAATCTATCATGCTTTGTATTTGTTTTTAGATCACCGTTAACATCTGAAGCCCTGATTGGCTTCAGTGTTACTTTTGTTGACATTCACCAAGAAGGCATGTGAAGAAAACTGAGGTTAACCCCACCGTTCTACTCACAGGTATCTTTTATAGCTTTATTAATTTTCTGCTAGTTTAAATCTCGAATGCTGCATATAGGCTTATTTAAAGAATGCCAGTGATTTTGTAGCATTACCTGTCAACTTAATGTAGCATATTTAGAATTAGTGAAGATAAAATAAACAAGCAATACAAATAGAGTACTAGTTAAGAGTAAAATCTTACTTCATGAGGAATGGAAAATGTGAACACCGTTGTAATATTTCTTATCTGTTTTCTGTTAATTTCATAAATGCTTAACAATGAAATATTCATTTCATGCTGTTTCTGATTGTTTAAATGCATAAATCCAATATTAATTTGAAGTTTGGAGGGTTTCCTATGTACAGGTACTAGAAACTCTTTCGTTTTGAAAATATTTATTGAACACTTGAGATTTGAGCTGGAAAATGGTTAGAATATGACAGATAACACTGATTTCAGTGATGCAAGCTGAACATGGGTTATAAATTGTTCTCAAAACGTCATCTAGTAAATAACACTTTCAGTGTGTGCTATAACGAGCAGACAAATTAAATCTTATGCTTACACTATTTGTGTAGCGTCCTTTTTGGTATAGCCACATTCAGCAATGATAAGTTATCAGTATGTTTTGTTACCTGCTGCGCAGATTTTTTGTTCTAGATCTTGATTCCTGGGTAATACTTCTCCATGATTCCATGAAGAACGAAGTCCAGGAAAGTCAGGTTTTGGAGTGAGAACGTTAACGATAAACCACTCTGTCAGTATCGAACAGTTGATTAATTTCTACTCTTTTCAATTCTGTATGTATAACGATCAAAATACAATGTCATCTGTATATGTTTGTCTTCAAACCTAACCTGCTATATCCCACAGTTCATGATTTCGTATTCGAACTTATCGGAATCCACCTCAAGGTCAGTTTGTAAAGACCACACAATTTGCTTGGAATTGGTGGTTTGCAGTGATTGACTGATTGATTTCAATACAATTTTCATCATAAACTCACATTAGTTGTAAGAACACCCACTAACTATAAACTAGAACAAAACACAGTTTCATCAATCTTAGGCCCTCAGTTTATCTTCAACTGATATCAAACTCTGACCGAAAGTATTTTGATCTCAGTTAGCTCCCACAAACTACTAGTTGTGTTACTTGTGTATCGACTGAATTGTTTAAGTCAGTCGGCTAATAGCCCTAAACAATGAATTCAAAGATTTGCTTATTCACTGCCCACTTAATTTAACGGGATAGAAGTTTGGAAAAAAGCTCAGTATAATAAGTAAACTTACTGCCTATTTTCAGATTATTTTAGTCATTACTGTATTAAATTTATTTGTTCAAAACACCACGAAACTAAGTATTATTGAATATATGGCATTCTGATTCAGACTCACCACTTAGAATCGTACTTCAAGAATTACGCATCCTTTAATGTTCGTTTTTTGTTTTTTATGTCAGTCCTCGTTTGGTATTTTAAGTTTCAGTATAATTTCGCTCATCTTCGAAATGAATGCTGCGAAAGTTTCACCAGAGACGCTGGGTTTTCGTTGCGTATACAAAGATGTGGGAATCACAGAGTCTATATTAATCTTTGGTACCATTACTTCATCCTACTAAATTGTATGATTGTCAGTTGATAAATTTCTACAAGTATGTTTTTTCGAAGTTGAAAACTTCATTTGTGCTTGGCATTTTCAATTTTGATTAAGTTTCCTGCTTCAATGATTTTACTTATGCCATTTGACTAATTTGATTTATGCAGTTGACGGTATAGGTACTCCTTGATGAAATTGAAATCTTACTTTGCTAAATAATCTCAAAAAGACCTAGCACATTGGAAGCCCAACTTGACTCCAGCCTTGTTAACAACTCTTCTTTTTCCTCTATGTGGCGACACAGAAGAAATACTGAACTCGTTTTTAATCATGTTGAAGCTGCTTTTCATCCTACTAATACTATTGTTACTACTTCTTTGCTTGTGCTTTCTTGAGAATTTCTTGATGAACTTAGAAGGATGGTGAACGTAGCTTTGTTTTTAATTGTTTCAATTTCTTATTGGGGTGCTTTAGTATCCTAGTCATCCGTATCATTGTGCAGTACCTAACAGACACACAGAGTATTGAATTACATTCTACCATAGAAACTAAGTTTTTCTCTCATATTGGCCTGAGTCACTGCAAACGAATTAAATGGAATCATTGCATAAAGGAAAATACAACTGGACTAACTTTAATCGATGCTTAGCGTTAAAGCACTCAGCATCGAAGAACTACACAGCTTTCTGCCTGTTAACCAGTCTACGTAGCTGCATTGTTTCATTACTTGGAATGCATAAAATTAAACTAAAAGGGGTGTGGACTACACCTTTTCAATTTCTACTGATCAACTTGTTACTTAGGAAAAATCTCGGAATTTAGATAATTGAAGTGTTTATAATATTAATGAAGAAATTTTCAGAGTTTTAATTAGTTACTTAAAACAGATTATCAGGTGAAGAGCTTGCTTAATCCCCACTTGATACTAGTTGGTTATCCGTTTTTTCAACCAAAGTACAGACTCAGAATAACAGCATAAATAAACTAGATTTTCTCAAACAGACAAAACCTAAAATGAGCATCAATGAAACTTATGAAGTAGAAATTTCAATTACTTTACTATTTGAAAGGATTCAGTCAAGAAAACTTCATTTTGAAATCGTAATCCACACAATTCATAAATAGGGTGATAAATTCCTTTCGATTTTTTCACTTTAAACTGGTCGAGTGAATTTCGGTGTTAATAGCACCGCTTTCTCTCAATTAGAAGTATTTATCCTAATGAATACGTTGATATTTTAGATAACAAACTCAGCATGGAGTTCAAGATAAAAATGATATATTTAAACTTTTTAAATAATGTTTTACCGTGTCTTGATGACAAAAAGTGGTTAATCAGCTAATTCAATTTTCCTGTCCACTATGCACATGGATTTCAGCTAGTTGTGTGGTTGAAATCTCTGAAATTGTGATTGCTCATGATTTTCATCAATGGCTGATTAATTAGGCCTATTTCTGTATATCTATGCATTATTAGCTATTTGACCTGAATGCAGAACATTCTTTGTTTTTCCTTTATACATCACTTTCAATGTAAACAATATGTTTACACTTGTACGGATGCATTCATTTAAGAGACTTTATGTCATGATGTTTATGGCCAAGTGGCATGAATGTAAGCAAAATTGAAGAGAATTATCACTTTATTCAATATAATATTTACTTCAGTTATCACAGATTGCTTTGTAAATAATATTTGAATGATTTAATCAGACAAAATTGAAGCATCTGGATAAGTAGATCAAGTCAATCCAGTATTACAACGGGGAATTACAAATATCAGTAGATAAATACTAACTGATACCCACTGCAGAAGAATTTTCTTTTCCTTCTCGGTAGCCTATTGAATAACGCTTTGATATTTGAAGCGAATAGCGCTGGGTTCGAGTTTCAGTGGGAACACTGTCACTCACTGGGATGCAGGTAAATTTGGGTTTCCAGTCCCAAACAGAACGAAACGCACTCCTTGTATTCCAATGTTAACCATCATCTAGCAAATTAAAACATTTGAATTTTTTCTGCTTTATTGCCATAATCTTCTGGCTGTATTATAAAGGTTGACAAGAACTTATACGTTTAATTTCTAAATCTGTTCTTACAAGTTTCGTTTATCTATTAATGCTCTTTAAAATTTTCTTAAAGTGTGGTAGAACTATTTACCTGTTGATTGATGGAACTCATTTCTTATTCGGTGATAAATCAGGTATTTTTAAATGAAGTTTCATAAGTCATCGTTCTCTTCTGAGTTATTTATTTCATTATGGCTGGAAAGTTTTACAATGTGGTTTCACTGTTCTGAATAGCAGCTTTTTAAGAACTAAAATGTGGCGGGTTAAGCAACAACATGAAGGCTAAGGTAGTTGGAAAGAAAAAGTACAACTTCATCTGCTAAAGAGATAATGTAAAGTTTACTGGTGATTTTACTTTGGTACTGTTAAAAACCACCGTTATATTTTGTGTGGCCCTGTACGACACAGAATTCATACTTACGAGCAGTTTGTTGCAACGATGTTTTATGACCAACATTAATGGCTTGATATCTACAAAATCATGGTGTTTGTCGATTGCTCTGTCTGAAATGATAAAAGTCGTCGTTAACCGATTAATTCCCCTCCAACAAATAAAATATTCTATTCCCTGTTTTTTTACCTACCCTAGATCATTGAATTGATGCATTTAAGTTTATCGGGCTCACAATTGAACCACCCAGCTTGGAGTACACACCATTATCAAAATCGATCTTCTGAGATACAAATATTCTCAATCATCTCAAATTCCAATAGGCTACCCAGTCTATGAAACGCTTGTGTGTATTTGTACATTTCATTTCATTCATTTTTGAGCTGATAGAGTATTATTCTGCATCTAACAAATGTTTGTAAATACACTGAATCCTGATGTTTTCATTTTCATTGATTTTTTCGAGTGTGCATTGGGAAATAGTTGGTGCTGGTGCTATACTAACTTAAAAGGATTTTTGATTACCTCAACCATTTGGACTATTTGTTGAATACCGATATTTTCATTCACATGGATAATGACTCAAATTAACGTAAATACAAATACACTGAGTGGCAGATAAAACTTGAAAAATGAATGAGATGATTAAAAATGTTTCAAACCACTTCTTCTCAATAAACCTGTTTGCCAGAGTATAAATTGAGGTTCCTTAACATTAATGTGAAAAATACATTATGAACTGTCAGGTGTTCAGAAGGCGTTGATAATTTTGACAGAAAAATTAATGATTATCTCATTAGATGTAAGATTAAAAAGTTAAGCGACTAAACTTACAGAGGTTGCGAACTTTTCAATTTCATTTCACTATAAGATTAGAAAAGAATTTCTCATAGTCTAGTTTCAAAAAGTAAGTAACAAAGATATGATTGTATAAAATTCACATAATTAATATACTTAAGCAATAAACAACGTACCAAAAAAGTATACGCGATTCAGCCTAACAAATAAATCTATCTCAGACCTTTGGAATTTTCACAAACTTATCATTTGCATTGTCTTATGTTGGTTGACTTATTTTCTGACTAATAGAGTTGATTTCAAAACAAGTGTTAGACAAATAAATAAAAAAAATGTGAATCTTCTTCACTTGTGTTTGGTAGTTTAACTTAAGGTGACAATTCGTAATACTTGAAAGTGTCGACAATATAAAAAACATTCCTATTTTATTTTTATTTAAACTGTTTGCATAATAAACAAGAAGAATGTGTATATAAAAATACATGTGATTGTCTGTTAAATGACTATCTTAGATCTTATTGATTCGTATCTGGTTTGAAATACTTAAGGAATCGAAGTACAGATGCAAGAATACTGTTCTTGCGACACTGAAACAAGAGGAGAAAAGGTCCTGCATTCCACTGCTATCAACTTCCAAGTAATATAGAATAAGGTGACTTCACATAGAACATACAAAAAAAAGACATTTGAAATGATATTTTATGAGATGAATTTGCTGGTTCAGATAGGTCAGCTGGTTAGCAACAAATAAAGTTCAAGATAAATTATAGTGGATCTGTATAAATTTGCCTCAAGGTCAAAGAAGCAATTCACTTGCGCTCTCTAATTTAAGTTGTATAGGATAATAATTCAGGACAGTAAATAACCATAATTAGACATGAATCACAATATTGTTTTCTGTATAGTATCACACATGAGTCAATTCCAGACTATCGTTCTAAATACTTATGAAAATAATTCTTGCAGAGTAAGATCCGAGTAGATAAAATCCTAGAAAATAGATAGTTGATGAACCTTTATTTTCGAACAGTTAATTTTCAGTGACTCTCTACCTCAGCTTCATCGACCTTGAGAAGGCCTTTGACAGCGTCGACCGAGAAGTAATTTGGAAACTGCTTCACTACTACGGAGTACCGCAAACCTTTATCAGCCTCATTCAACAACTATATGAAGATGCCACATGACAAGTGATTCACAATGGTAAGCTCAGTGATGCCTTTTAAGTGAAGTGAAGTGAAGACAGGAGTGAAACAAGGTTGCCTAGTATCCCCATGATATTTCTGATTGTGGTGGACTGGATCATGCAGCAAACAGTAGGCAGCGAGAAGAGGGGGATACGCTGGACGGCGGAAAAGAACCTAGAAGACTTGGATTTCTCCGATGACTTGTGCCTGATGTCACATAAACTTGAAGATCTGCAGGCAAAAACTAACAAGTTGATAGAAGAGGCAGCGAAGACGGGACTTCAAGTGAATATAGAGAAGACAGAAGTGATGAAGATACCGCACCGCCACCACCACCAACAACAAACTCCAATCACCATCACCATCAACGGGAGAAACTTGAAGGAAGTAACCTCCTTCACTTATCTAGGAAGCACTGTTTCAACTACAGGCGGGACGGACGAGGACGTCAAAGTCAGAATCGGAAAAACAGTAAGACAGGCGTTCATTAGCCTGAAATTAGTGTGGAGATCTTCTGCACTCAGCATGTGGAACAAGATACGGATTTTCAACACCAACGTCAAGTCAGTGCTCCTGTATGGTTCAGAGACTTGGCGCGTCACGAAAGGGATTTCCAATAAACTACAGACATTCATCAATAACTGCTGACGCTAGCTCGCTACTGAAAATCAGATGGCCAGAAAGAATAAGCAACAAGGAGCTCTGGGAACGAACCAACCAAGAACCTATCACGCAACAAATATGCAGGAGGAAGTGGAGATGGATTGGCCATGCACTGAGAAGGCCGACTGAGGACATCACGCGTCAGGCCAGTTGCTCGAGTGGAATCCCCATGGGGAGCGACGAGTTGGACGTCCGAGGGTGACATGGAGAAGGTCGTGCGAGGAGGAAATGAGAGGTTGTGGGCTGTCGTGGGACCAGATTCAAAAGATCTCAGAGAACAGAGGTCACTGGAGGCGTGCTACTGAAGCCCTATGTTCCACTAGGAACCCAAGGGACTAATAATAATAATAATAATTAATTTTTGAAAACTCATATGCGTTCCTTGTAAGCCCTCTACCTGTTTTTAGTTTTCGATAAAACCGTTTTCAGCATTATGAGATAACGTTTTTGTTCAAGATTTTCACTTGTTTCTACTGACTTAGTATTTAGTCTGTACATAAATTTTATTTATGTGAAATTAACTTATTCCTGCTTTTCTGGAGTTATTTCATAGGGCTAACCTAATCTTTGTAACTGCAGTTTACTTGAGTATGTATTTTGAAAACCCATGGGTGCACCATCATACTTGATTTCTGAATATAAAGCAGTAATGAAACATGAAAGATGGATTGAATACTCAACTACAGCAGCAACAATCCAACAGCACAAAATCCATTACTTAAAAAGATTATGGAAGCTTTTTCGGAATCGCTGTAGTTCACAAGCCCACAAAGTCTACTCACTCTCTGTCATACAGGCCAAAATATACATTACTGAAGGGGGACAAAGAAAAAGTTATCTTGGAAATGAACTGCGGAAACTGCAAAAAACATTACATCTGACAGAGTCATCACACATTTCCTATCCATCTTATTGAACATCAATCAGCAGTGTAGTGTAGCGTCATGATATAACTTTGGTCGTATCAATGGAATAAACACATCTATGGATACGAATTTAGCTGGGAAAATGTTGAGATGCTGGGTAGAGAAAATACAAAGAATGCTAGAAAATTTCTAGAATGTTGGTATTCAGGTCAGTCAGAGATCAACAGACATATTGACATTGATCCAGTCTATCAACCAGTAAGAGACAACAATAGAGTTAACTGTCACGTCAGGAATGGGAATAACCGAAATAAAGATGGAAGGAATTTCAGGCGTTTGGCAGAAACAACTGATCACACGCGAGGCCGTCAGGATAAGTTACTAAGTTACCTGTGGAGAAAGCCTTACAGCTTACTTCTTCCTGAAGTTTGTGCTGATGATGTTGTCTGGAATTACAATGACTAAGCTTTATCATCTGCATTTGAAACCCCCCTAAAGATCCAAATGAGAGGGGAAAGTTCCGGAAATTTAAACGTGAAGTGATGAGTAGAGTGATATTACTGCATAGTGCTCATTAGCGATATGCTTCGAAATGGATATTCCAAATTTCTAATGAGAATCCGTGACTAGTGGAGTTGACCAGTCGGAAGTGAGGCAATTGCTGACTGAAGACCTGTTTGGACAGTCGCACTATATCGCGAAGTTACAGAAAGAGGAAACTGTAGAACATTGAAATATTACCCAGCAGCCCAGTGGTTAACACATTTACTCTGAAACCCTAATGTTCTGATTTCGAACCTAGTCATCGCTGTAGGTGTAAACCGATGGGGAGTCCCATTCTATTACGAAGCAGCTGTCCATTACTCACAGGTTATCATTGGTTTTCCAGATGATATCACTCTATGATAAATACAACCTTAAGGAATTATGTATTTAAGGCGAAGGAAACAGAGTGCGAATTCAAAGTCTCATTATTCAAATCTAGGACATTAGGTCCAGTCTACACAGTGTTTGAAACCAGTTAAGTGAAAGTACTGGAATATCATACTGTTCATTTCAGTACTTTTAAGTAGAAGTTAGCTTAAAAATGCTATTATACTTTTCACATATATTCTCTCATTTGAGTGTGCGGGAGATGTTTCTAGGTATAAATTACAAATATTTAATAATACAATAGTTGGGATAGCACTTGAAAAATCATTACAACTTGATGTAACTATTCATCAAATTTCCACTATAAAGTAGGTTTGTATCGTACACAAAGAGGCTATTTCTGTACCTCGGTGAATAGACTTCATGTGTGTATGGACAGAAATTCACTAGGTGGCTGAAAACTGCTCAATGGTTATCGAATTTCAATGGACCACGTATGCTTTCTTGTTTGATTTGATATTCGGGCTTGTAATTCTTCGTTGTTGATTGAGGCTGACTTTAACTGATGAGGTAGCCAACGTCATTCCTCTGTTTTGTGGAAATGTACTTTTTCAGCCGAAATACCGAGGCCTGATTGATCATTTTAGTTATCACTACAGTGGCCTTTAAAGTCTACTTTAATTAAGCCCAATTATCTGGTCAATTTTAGCATATAGGAGGCTGTACAAATGCCTCAGTATTGCCGGAATTTTCAGGTTTTGATATTATTGATGAACAGTGGGTAGCATCGGAATACAGTAAGAGGGTTTATTCTAATTTTGCACTCACCAGCTGCATGTATCTGTCTTTCAGTAAGTGATATAGTTTCGAATAAGACTCAAACCCAAGGCCAATCGCTTCAAATGCAATGGCATGATCCATTAGGCTACCGAGCCCTGATATTCACTTCTTGTGCCATGGGTATTCTATTCTTGCCGTTGTAACTGAGTTGCCTAGTGGATAACGCCTTGGCGTTCGAAGTGATTGGCCCTGGATTCGAGCCTTAGTGGGAGCCACATCAGTCAGTGTGAGGTAGGTAAATATAACTCATGAGAGCCAAATTAGAAGAAATGCATGTCATGGATTCTACTGCTAGCCAGTGTTCATTACTATTTCCTGCACAAACGTTTGCGTAAGATGTTTCAGTTTTCCGGTGTGCAGAAATGAGCATGAAATAAGTTGAATGGTGTTGGTTAACAGTAATAAGAATTCACTTATTGTTTTCTTTACCAACTTTATAAAAAGATCATCCTCTTTATCATGTGGTACGAAAAAACATGATGACAATTTATCAACACCTTGATAACTAAATTTCTGTTGCCCATGTATTTCTTGTTGTTATTTGAACTGTTGCCTTGCCTCAAGTTTCCTAAATTTGAGTGTTATTATGCAAAGTTTATCAGTAAATAAATAAGGGAAGAAAATAATATTAGATTCTCATAATTATTATCTTTACACAAAATAACAAATTTGCAGAGAAGGGGATTAGGAGGAGTGCATCACACCTAAGAAAACAGTTGGTTAGGCAAAAGAAATCATACAATAATGAATGGCAAGCATTTTTTGGGCAAAATACTTACAATGTTATATTCTGATCGCCTTCATCTTTATAAGTATTTGTTTCTTTGGCGCTAAGATTCTCATTCCATTGAATAACGTCTTGATAACTTCGAAAGCGTTGAAATAGTATATCATTGAAAACCACTTCAATGTAAAAAATTGAAGGGTAGCTGTATTCTAATGAACTTAAGTGAAATTCCCAGTTCGCTTTGAATAAGTCTGATACGTTCAAACATGCTGATGTGTTGAGTGAGTTTATGGTAGATGTTTTTAGATTTTTATAAGTGCGTGTATTGTTCATCCCTGAGAAGAAAACAAAGCAGAAAAGCGGTTTAATTCCATATAATTTGTTATGTTTTCAGACAAACAATCTACGAATTTAATAGTAACACTAAAACTGTGAACAAAGGCTTACTATTTTTCCCACTGGTCAATCCCTGTGTTATCCAGTTCTACAGATCAATCGCAGTCTGAATACCTCAGCAGTTAGGTCTTTGATTATAGTACAGACTGGTGCAGGTTCAAATTTGTTGGGTGACACAAGTCCTAACACAACTGGGCATACGTCTTATTGCGAAATGCTAACATGCGCGAAACCTGAGTTGAACCGAGCTTACTGATTATCGCCATCAACTGACTAATGTCGTCTTAACTATGAATATAAGCATAGAAATGCAATGCCTTGTAGAATACTGGTTTAAGACGATTATAAGTCAAATAATGATCCACACAACGCCTTCAGCGGGTATCAGTACCAGTATAACATATTTTTCCTACAATAAAACTTCAAATACAACCTGGATCTTTAGAGGATTTATGTTATGAATTATATTTGTTTGGATACGTGCTGATATTAGCAAAAAGCTGATAAGTGGGGAATAAATTAGATTTTGTTCCCTAAAGTGTTTTTTCTTTCTACATTATGGATTAAATATTGGTTCACTTTCTTCCAGAAAACTGGCTTAAACCTTTCACTTTATATTTTGTCATTTCTAAGTGGTGTTAAAGTTTTGAATATGCAGAGATTTCAACTTTGAGTATAGGAAGGCTAATCTAAGCTACAACGAAAGAGCTGCACAGTGTTACGTAGTTGACCTTGGTTCAGAGATGAGCATCAATCTGAAAAGAATTAAGTTGCGTACCATAAAAATACTGGTTTTCCAATGAATTGTCAATAAACTCTGGAAGAAAAGAAAATACATGCAGAAAGTTTTCAGTTCAGTTGACATCTAAGTACGGTATTTTTTTTATCGTAAAAGTATTATTTTCGTTTCAGGCAGGCAATATTTGTTTTACACATGGTGTGTAATCCATAGAGGGTTTAAAAATTATACTTACTCTTCGTTTATTATTTTGGTTATACAGTTATTACGACTGTTTTTATACTGTATATTCTACTTACATCTGTCTGTCATTTAAACATACGCAAACTAATTAAATTACCAAACACTGCACTGCACGGCAATAATACATTCAGTTGATATAACCGTGAATAATGATAATGATAATAATGATAATGACCGCTTTATTTCCAATATGTCGGATACAGTATGCAATTTTCAGCATGAAATGTTTCAACAAATTCGCTTTCCGTAAAATATTTTTAAAAGAAATAACTATTACATCTGCAGAGTGTTAATAATAACAGAATTGAAGGCTTAAACGTGAAACGGCCAGGTAGTGTTGCATTAGCATCTGTCCTTAGTTCAGAAAGTAACATAAAATCAAGTCCATTTCGATGGTGGTAGTTCACTCAGCACAGAAACTCAAAATCTCATACAAATATCCTAGGAACAGTAATCCATTGTATTTTCGAGCACTTACGAACCCATTTCCAAACAATGAAACGTTTTTCTTTGTTTTGTTCTTAGACTGACAAAAAAATTTCGAAAACATTTTGAAAACGTGCGGAAGCACATGGTGCGGTCAAAAGACGTCTAAACGATTAAAACAAACTGACGAGGGAGAATATGATGGAATATATTTGGTGGAAGGTTTTTTGTTAGCTCAAAATTTAGGCAGGCTACCGGCATAAATGTTTATTAACTTAGGTTGTTTTTAAAGTTGTCCTCTAGCAATGAATGGCACTATTTTGAGAAACTGTCTTACTAAGTAACAGGATCACCTTAAGCCATTAATTTTACGAATTCATCCCGTATGCAAATAAATTACAAAAATTACTGTCAATGAGCAAATCATTAGCAGATTTGATAAAAAGTTACACCGTGACACTAATAAACCTGTTATCAAAGTGTGCAGTGTTTTTTCAGTCGCCTTCAAATCCCGCTTGTCTGTATCATCACATGGAATTCAACAAACAAATATCAGAACCTTTTGATAAAAGTAGCCATGTAAGCTGTCTCTGCTATTTTGAACAGTTTTATGTAGTTCTTTGAGAAGTATAACCTAAATGTGTATGGTTTCATTTTGAAAACAGAAAGTAAGCCAGTCGATGGTTATGTGTTACATCACCTGATCAAAGAAATCATTAAACGTTTCATTGAAAAAATAACATGAAGACTGGTGCAAACAATGCAGAAGCAGCATGGGGTTATTAAAAACTCAAAAAGTTGTCAATCCTTTGGTAGTAAAACTGAATATTCAGTTTGTTTAATTTTAATTCTGATCGCTTTCATTTCATTCCTTGTTATATGTCATTAAAATCGTTCTGGAATTTGCCCGTTTTTTCATTTCATATTTCTCTAAAAATTGTTCACTCTTTCCAACTGCTTTTATTATGCGTCTTTCAGACTGTTATGTAGTCTTTTTACACCTCACATAAGATTTCACATTTCCTTTTCGAGGTTTTTTGCTGATTTAGTGATTATAAAATAACTGCCTGATTTCACCAGCCACCGTCTTGGACGAAATTGGTAATGGAATCTTTTACGTCAGTGTATGCCTACACTTGTTCAGTATGCTTTTGTTTAGCCCTTACCGAATAAGTTCATTTCGGGATGAATGCTGTTTAGCTATGTGATTACTTTGGTTTGTCTATTTCTGCAAAATGTTGAAAAATGAGATAACGATGTATAACGTTTCCTGCATCTTTGAGGATACATTCTGTACTCCGGTTTATCGGGAGGAGGATGTCATGAAGAAAATTTGAAGACAAAAACGTCTTTTGATCAGCTGAATAGGCATCTTATTACTGAAGAAATGGAGCTAGGTGGTGATTTTCAGTGCCTTTTCATTATTAGACGGCTTTGAGTAGTATTTTTACTGTATGTAGTCATTGTTATAGTGGTTATGGAGATAGTAATATTTTTATGGGTATTGTTTTATTTGGATCTTCCCCTTTCTTCTCACTAAGCTATTGATGTGCCGGAAAAATTTGAACTTTGTTACTAGCTGCTTTTCTCTTGAAGTGGCTATACTGATGGGAAAGCTACTAGACAGGTCGTCATACTGTTTAGGTTACTGTGCAGTATCACCAATACTGAGTCATCTTCTGACTTATTTTCAGCCTGTATAAGATTGTAGTTCTTATTCTTTGAGTAGTATGTATGAAGGTTACTAGGATAAAACCAAGTTCTCATTTTTTATTTTCATCCGTTTTAACAGTCTCAAGTTGTATCGGAACTCATGAACTCAGTCACGGTTTGACACTACATAGTCCTTTGATATGATTAAAAGTTTTTATAAGTATATTATGGACGATGGTTGTGTTATTTTGCGAACTGACAGAAGTGGGAATATGCGAGTCATTGGATTCCTAGCCAGCGACTTAGTGGTAAAGTGCTTCCTACGAAAGACGAGGGTATGGGGTTTGACCCCCTGGTAAATTAATGTGTGAGCATTGCAGGGAGTCTCATTAAATTTAAGATTTTTGTCTCTTTTCATCATCTTTGGATGTTTCAGGGAGATATCAAGATGCTAAATGTGCATGCTGTTCAGCTGTTACTTGTTATATAGCTTCTCCTCTTTTAGGGTGGTATATTTTAGTGACAAATGAAAAGCAAAAGCCAGTGTATTATCAAATATTATGACTTTATGTTTTGAGCAAAGTTTATTTCTTTGCTTTGGCTTTTTCATTGATGACTCTACTGCTTATTAAAGCCCTAGTCTAAATATTTTTTGAGTACTTCATATATTTGTTTCTTATGGGTACTTTTGAATTTGGCAGCTCACAATGATACACGTTAGCTTCCCAGTTCTTTCACACACCACTGACACTTTCGTTTAATCAGTGAGTGTCTCAGTAGGTAATCTTCTTCTAATTCTTTTGGACCACCTGCAAAACTTAGATGCCTCTGTTTCAACAATGTCTTACTCAGTAGAGCTTTATGTTTTTTAACTCTTACGAGTGCCATCGCATATAGAATTTCAAATTGGCAGAGAAAGTGTATAATTTAAGATTAAAAAATAGTTGAACTAATTAAGTTTAATGGTTCGATTGTGAAAACACTTTTCTGTATGCATAGACACTCCAGAACAGTGACAAATCACTCACAGAATCTGTATATTTTGTAGGTTTATTCATATTACATATATCTTTACAGGTAATGCTCTTTTATCTTTCAAAATAACAATGTCTAGATAAAATATTACAGCTCCTCAACTTCAACTACGGCTAATGTTAAACTTGTCTTTTATTTGAATGGCTAGAATTCCATTTTCCATTCATTATCTTTTTTTAAGTCAGATTATCATAGGACGGTGAAATAAATGAATGTTATCTGAGAAGACATTGAGCAACACTTATTTGTAGATTGATGTTGGTGCGAAAACAATTAGCTTAAGACCGCGTCACTGACGAAATGGCAACTGTTATGATTATTATTTCTAAATATTGTTCATAAACTTTTTTAACTGAGTGGTAATTACTGCGACTGGCACTATCTAAGTGGTGACTTAGGTCTATCGATGCAAACACCATGCAACCTGTCTGGTACGTATAGTCAGTCGGTGTGTATAAGCACCTGTCTATTCCCTGTGGTTGAAAGTCTGCGAGGTGTGTTACCAGCCCAGGAAAAACGAATTTCTTCTCCTATATAGAAACCTGTTTCTCAATGTAAAGGCAAAAAATGGCCACTCATGGCGTTAGATTACATTTCAAAAAAGCTGTAGTTGTCTCTGAAGTACGGCTACTGTGAAGTTGTAAATATTGTTGCACTCATGTGTATTGTGCCTACCATTTCCACTGAAAGAGTCTTTTTCTCACATGGTAAGAATTACCCCAAGTCCCAGGACTGTAGCTTTCTGAGACATAGATACAGTTTCAAACCAGCCAGTAAGGTTAGGGTTTGTAAAATTTCCACTCATATATATACTCTCCTACATTCAGATTATTTACCTTATTTCTGAGGTTGCACTAATGATATACCTTAATATTTAGGCGTTTGACAACCTAAGCTATATCTTGGAGAAAATCTCATTTTGACCAAACAATGAGTATTTTGTAATAAATATGTATATGAAGTGGTTTCTTAGAACCCTAACGTTTGCTGGTTAGAGGTCTAATATTTATGTGACTTTGAAATAATGGTCAGAAAATAACGTACTGTCAATAAGAATAAACTCACTGCTGTTTTTTTATCGTCCTAGGATTAGATATTCTTCATTTTATATAAAAAAATGTTGAAGCGACATGTAATTTGTTGAAATATTAAAAAGAATGTCATATAATATTGCAGATAAGCGAAAAAACCTTTGGGGGGAAACTAATATTTAAGTATCCGTCATGTCTTTAGTGTTACCCAGTTAGCATGTATGCTTTCGGATTTGCTTCTGCTATATTTTTCATCTACATGATATGCCAATCATTAAATGTTATGCTCTTTATCTACCCATAACGAAATCTAACGATAGAGACTATGCTAATGTCACGTACAATTTAATTGAAAAGGCCAGTAGTCGACCTGATTTGTCACTTTCAGCAAAGGAGATACAGTGGAATTCTTATTCCTCAGATTGATATTACCAGAGAAGAAGAAAATTTGTGCGATCATTCCCATTTTATTCTCTTGACTATTTATAGTTCCATTTGCCAATATTATTTTATTCTGATTTCGGTATCCTTTTGCCTGCATCGAACCACCATCAGAAATATTAACTGTAAGCAGGAAAAAAAGACAAGAAGTAATTAGATTTTGTGTCACTTGTTACAATACATGTCCGACTTTTAGAATTCATTTATTTGCATATTTAGTTATATAAAACAGTCACTGTGGTCCGTTAAACCTCATTTGTTGTTCAAAACATCAGATCAATCATTAAATTATCTATAACTAGGAAACTGGTAATCAGGCTCATTGTGCTCAAATTGAACACGTTATTTTTAAACCTTTAACTAAACACAGCTGGTCGTTACTCAGTCTACCGCAAGTGTTTACAAAAATAAGCCAACATATATCTGTGCTTCCACATTTGAATAAAGACTGGTTTAAATTTGTACACATGTCTTTGTCTATTTCGTATTTAAGCACTTTGATTTCAATCTTAATCAAACAGCAGTTCAAGGACAGTATACTTAGCATCAAATTTACACATATTTAGTTAAATGAAGAAATTATTTTTTGGTACAACTGAGTTTTTTTATAACTGTTGAACTCGCTGCAATAAAGACTGTTCGCAAGTAATTGATATAAGTGCAATGAAGACTGTACTTTTGTTAAAAGATGTACAAGGTTTAGAATAAATATCTGAGAGAAAATTACCAAATCATGAAAGTTTCACTGCAAATTGTGGTAAAGTAAGCGGACAATTATGTACCTGAATAGTAAATATTTAGATGGTATTGATGAACGTCTTAGTAAGTCTAATGTATTTGCTATGAAGTAAGTCCCAGTATAACCTAGCTGCTTTTTCAAAATCTTATTGTAGTTCCTTTTCATAAGTTTCGCACTGTGAAACAGTATATTTTACTGGAAACATTTTAAGAAGAGTTCATTGCTTATAATCATGTCAAGGTAATCACACAATTTTCTGGTCTATTCCTATAGTTCTTTTACCTCTTCATTCTCTAATTTAATTGGTAATATATTTTTCAAAATTCAGAATTGGTGCTGCTTCATTTCTGTTACGTGTGTTAGATGTGCCTTCGATAGACAAAGCTTCACTTTTCAGTTTGTCTCCATCCATGCAAGTGACTATTAGAACTAAGGTCGTATCCCATCCTGTTGCGTAAATGCATGTGACTGTATGCATGGCTATAGCTGAGCTCTGTTCCAAATTAAAAAAAGTCTTATCACGGTACGTTTACCTAGATTTCTGTATCCTGTTGTCTCAATTGATTCCGTTCACCAGGTCTGATCATACATGCATTGTATAGAATTTAGTAGATCAAATTTTTTGAGATAGTTGACTCTACAAGATCCCTTATTGGACAAAGTTAGTCAATAAGTGTGTTTATAGGTATGAACCCCACTCTGATGGGGGTCTTATAAGGAATCCCTTTTAATCGCTCATGATTTCTCTTCCTTATGTGGCAAAACTAAGGGTACAACTACAAGTGAAAAATTCCGGTGGAAACGCCACCAGTTAGTTATGCTGTTTTGCTTTGTGACGCCAATAAAAAGGAAATATAATTGATTAGCACCACACCACAGCACCCGAATTCTGTTCTCACGTTTAGAAAATAAAAACAAGATTACCATAAAACTTACACTGTGAAAACCACAACTTCTTTGATAAAATTCGAATATTCTGTTAATAAAGCTGTACCTTAAACATAAGCAATTCTAAATTATCTCATTTTAATTTTCTGAAGACACCAGCAGTAAACCTAAATTTGTTCTTATGATGATTAAATTTATATCTGCTTGAATGGTATTTTGAGGCTAATCGTCTAAAACTTGAGTTGTACTGGAATTATCTCCATCATATGACTCTTTAAAGTGCAAGAATTCATAATATGTCAGTATGCATAAATATGTAGTATACTACCTTATCTTAATGTAAGCTCCTCATTGCTGATCATAAGTTTTAATGGTTTTCAAGAACTCTAGATACAGCCTGTATACAAATGAGTAGCCGAATCCATCCCCTCCAACTGAAGTTGCGTGATCGAATTTAAAAGTTGAATGGTAATTCCACGTTTTAAAAGATTTTCTAGTCTCCAAAGACATAGGTATTTCTGTGAAATGTGCAACAAATTTATTGGATTATTTCTTAAGAAATACTATCAAAATTCATCAAAAGAAAACTTCTCAGTTATTATTTCTAAAATTTGTACATGTATGTATATATATATATATATATATATGTATGTCTACTTCCTGCATATAGTGTTTCAAATTCAAGTGAAATTTCTGTAACCAGCATTTATTACAAAAGTAAGGCGTAAGTAACAGTACCGAAATCATCGTGAAACTGGGTATCTCAGATGGATCTGAAATATTTTTCTTCTATATGATAAAACTATTTAGAAAAACTATATTTATAGAATAAAAAATATACAGCTTACTTCTAAAATATATGAATAAAGTTGGAATAAATCTTTAAAATAGTTTTACTGGAAATTTCAGTTCAAAATAAGGTTCAAAGCTTTATCAGTTGTCTGCATACACACATACATACATACAGAACCTTAATAGTATACAACGCTAGACCATTCTTTACTTTCCAGATTGTTTACTAACTCCGTATTACTTCCTAGATACGGACGCGTTTCGCAGTATGTGAATAATAAGAATAAAATTCTTCTACATCGTTTCACTTTTTCTGATTACTTCAATACAAAACAAGTAAGTAGAATATAATATCTAGTCCATGTTAACAAGGATTAAAAAAGTAACAAGATTATCTCTGAAGAAATATTGCGGAATACCATAGAAGGTTTTCAGATAATAATACAGTAAACTGGAATGTGGTGAATAATTTTACGGGTAATTTATTCTCGAAAACACAACAATCCTTTCTCATCACCCATGATAATTTTTTTGTAAAACCGGGTTCTCAACATTTCACTCAAAAACCTATGTTCCCATGGTAATAAAATAATATGGTGTGGAGATATTTCATGTAGCAGAAAAACTTTTATTAGCAAATTGAAGATAAAGTATGCTTGTTGTGCTTCAGAAACCAGTTTGTATAGTTAGAAACCTGTATAACTAAAATCAACCATATAACTTCTGACATAAGCGCCAACCAGAGAAAAAATAGAACTTGGGCGCTATGGTCGAGTGCAATTCCATACCAGATTGTTCATTTGATATAGCACATATTGGTACAGTATTGTTTGCTGGATGTCACCTTTAAAATTCAAGAGAGTGACTACAGAATTCTTGTTCATCGAATTCTCAAACAACAAATATAACTGGATGTGTTCATCACATATTGCAGATATCTGGAAACTTTTACTGCTACCAACATAAAAGAACAAAAGAACTGTTAGGCTTTATAAGTGAAGCTTGAAAGTTGCATGATTATTTTGACATGAATATGAGCAGCAGATTCTACTTGAGACGTCATTTAGTACATCATATTTTATCACTGTGTGCTATTTCATATAATCAAACTAATATGGAACAGACTGGTGCACGTTGAGACGAAAATCGAGTTTTCTTGAGGGTATTGTTTGCGATTTTTGTCTTTAAAGAACTATTCACCAGTGACAGGGTTGTGAGACAAATGTATTTAGACTGCTGTTTTTTGTAGCTAGAAATACACACTGCAAAAGAACAACTACAATAATAATCTTTTCATTTATTTGTGCCTTAAATCTATTTTAGATGCAACCGTCAGTGTCGTATGATGCGATTTTTATAAAATGGTCTGATGATACCACGTACAACTTATTAAATCTCAGTTATCAAATGCGTAAATGGTTTACACTTGATCGTGATAAACTCGACTATTCGTTCAAGGTGAATAAAGCAAGAATTTTGTCAGAATCAAAGATGTCATATGCATTACTTAGTGGATTCCATGTTGAATGGAAAAGAACTACTGTATCTTATTTCAATAGTTACATACAAGGAAAGTATACTCAAAATCCGTATTTATTCTCAATAATTATAAAGCAGAGGTAGGAGTAACGATTTACATTTCATTTTCACTGGTTTTGCTCTTGATGCATTCATTTTAAAAGTGTGAACTTGTTTCATCGTATGCAACAGTTGCTTAACAAGACCGAAAAGCAAGTGTACTAACTTTTTAACCTGGCTCCACCACTCCACACAACCTTTCATTTCTTCCTCACACCATCCCCTCCATATCACCCTCAGCTGAGACGCCCAACTCGTCGTTGCCCATTTGCATACCACTCGAAGGCCTGGCCTGGTGTGTGATTTCTCCGAATGGTTTTCTCAGTGTATGTCCAATCCGATCCATCTCCACTTTCTTCTCCATATATGTTGGGTGATAGGTTCTTGGTTGGTTCGTTATCGGGCAAGAGTTCCTGGTTGCTCATTCTTGTTATTCTGGCCATCTCATCTTCAGTGTCAGTCTCGAGTGAGTGTAGGTGGCAGGTGTTGATGAATGTGTGTAGTTTGTTGGAGGTGCTTTTCGTGACACGCCAAGTTTCTGAACCATCACATGGAAGCACTGACTTGATGTTGGTGTTGAAAATCCGGATCTTGTTCTTTGTTATGATTGGAGTGCAGTTGATCTTCAAAGTGATTTCAGATTAATGAAGGCCTGTCTTGCTTTTCCAATCCTTGTTTTGACTTTCTCGTATGTGCTGCCACTGCCTGTAGTTGAGATAACGCTGACCTGCTAAGGTTGCTGAGATTAACTACTTCCTTTGGGTCTCTCCCGTTAATGGTGATTGTTGCTTGTTGTTGATGCTGTTGTTGGTTGGGTATCTTCATCACCTCCGTCTTCTCTACGCTCACTTGAAGTCGTGTCTTAGCTGCCCTGCCTCTTCTGTCAACTTGTTAGTTTCCGTCTGTAGATCTCCGAGTTTGTGTGACAAGACACTAGACATAAGTCATCATCGTCGGCGGCGAAATCCAAATCTTCTTCTGGGGTCTTTTCATCGGTCCAGCCAGCGTATACCCGTCTCCTCACAGCTCCTCACAGTTCGCTGCATGATCCAGCCTGGTCGACCACAATCAGGCAGATCGTGGGTGATAGTAGGTGTAGCCTTGTCTTACTCCTGTCTTACATCAAACGCATCACTGATCTATTCATCGTGGATCACTTGGTATATGGTGTCTTCATATAGATGTTGAACGAGGTTGATAAAGATTTGTGGGACTCCGCAGTGTTGAAGCAACTGTCAAATTACTTCTTGTTCGACGCTGTCGAAGGTCTTTTCAAAATCGATGAAGTTGAGGTTAGGATGAGTTGAGTTGACTGCCATTCTACACTCTGTTTTATGATGATGCGTTGTGTGGCAATTTGATGCCCATATGATTTATTCTTCCTGAAGCCAGCCTATTCCGGTCGGAATTTTGAATCCAGCTCATCGTTTACTCTCTCCAGGATGATGATCATAAACTGAGAAGTGTAACTAAGAAGTACTAGCACCCACAATTCATACACTGCAACTTAGGGATTTCTAGTAAACCTAAAGTTCTCGTGGAAATTATTTTAAACAATGGGCATTTGTTATGACATATATAGTGGATGATGAGTGACTCTGGGATTCATACCTGAATTGACCTTTTTTTCGAAACCTCTACACTAGTTAGTGTTTGTGATGATTTTATCTTGTTGATCCTTTGTTTAAAGGGTTGATTAATTCATGCTTATTTGAGTATTATTGCTAGCAAAACACTTTTGTTCAGAATTTGCGATAGGTTTCTTTCTGTTGGTTTACCGTTTGAGTAAAATGACCTACTCATTTTCAGTTCCTACACTGACCAAATTATCCCATTTCTTTTCAACCATTTTTAACCTAAATTCAACTGGTATCTGATTGGATCACTTTTTTTCATTACCGTTAGAGGTGAACTTATGAATATAGTTGTTGAAACAAAAGTTGAGTGCTTGTTAACTTTTTGAACTGCTGCTTGTAGAAATTCAATGTATCTTTCCTTATTTCTACCATCTATTGTTCCTTTAACCCTATGAAGTTTAGTCTTTGAGGATTCATAGTAGTCTCAGATGACTTTCAAAATTAGTGAAAAAACTAGTAAGGAACTGCAACATAAGTATTCTTTAAATTCAGAGATTGAGTTAACCCTTGGTTACACTCTTTTTGTATATTTTTCTATGTTGAAAACATCGAATAGGCTTCTGTAATACTTAAATGAACTGTTATGATTTCTATTAACAGAATTGAATAAAGAATGAAATGTTTTCCAATTTAAGCAGTTAAAACAACTTTATGACAGGCGATACTTCTGAAGGAACATTATAAATTGGATGGGAGTACAAACTGTAACCTCGTGAAAATTTCAATATCTTTGGTCAGTAAGGACAAATTTAACTGACTTAGACATTGGGGACCTGAATATCCACATCTACATAGAATATCTAAAACACATAAACATGAAAATCATTGGATACAACACTGTTACATTCACTGATACAAAATCAAGCTATTCGGTTAGCGAAACTCCTGAATCCATTCCAGTCAATTTATTAGATTCGTCGTTTGCTGGATTATATTCCGTACACAATTTGTTGTATTTAGTCTTACTATATACTTTCGCGCATTTTGATATCTTTACAAATCATCACTCTACAAGTTAATAGCCGAATGAGGAAAGGCGCCAAATCTCATCTACTAGCAGAGTAACTGTAATCTCTGACCAGTGGTTTAACTATTAATGTAAAACTTTTCTCGTTATTAGTATTCTTTTAGTAAATTGTTATTATGAGCAGTATTCCAAATGTTGTGGAGCACTATATACACATATATATTTTGTTGCAATATATCAAGCTGAACATTGCTAACTGTACGCAAACATTGTTCGGAACATAGTGATTATCATTATTATCTAACACGAAAAATAATGCACCGCAATCACATCGCCTTGCTTATTGGCCATTTTTCAAAGCTTGATCAACAAAGTTCAATCACCGCTAAAGCACTATGTACTGAACAGTCAAATCGGTTATCCACTAGGAGCCATTTTCCGTAAACATCTACTTTATTTCCGCACTTCTGGTAAATTCGCTGTGCTAATCAACTACGCAACAAAATGAAATGTTGAACTTTACTGTTAATTTTCGGTCTCTGTTTTATGCAAATTTACCGTGACTGGTCGATAGCCTATCGTCTAGATGTCCTACCACCTTGAGCTGTAATCACATTTCTGTACTACTATCACGTCCTATTTTGCTTTGTGTTTACTGATCGATTTTAAAGTCTGACTTACTTACCTGTATTGGTTGTTTAGATCGTGAACTTTGTATATATGTATCAAATGACTTATGATAAACGCTGATAGCCTACTGCAGAACATTTTAAATTTGGTGCGTATGTGGAAGATTTAGAACACACCAAATGAATCCGATTCATCCTACAATATCTGTCGTTCTTGCTTTTCAAAAATACACTTATAGTTTACATTCAACTTATAACCACAACTGACATTCATATGTATCACTAAAGTCATACTATTTATATTCTTGTATCCACCTAAAAATTTACTCACCGCGAGTTCGGCTATTATTTTGTCACCAATCTTTATTTTTAACGTAGAAGCTGGTAAAAAGATATTGAAAAAGTATTCTTTGTTCATATTTATTTTTTATCCTATAAAGTAGCATTCTTTAGGTTTTTAAAAAAACCTGGTTAGGAAATTTCCTCCTGCAACCCACTAAGAAAGTTTTAAGGACTATCACTGTCTCCTTTTCTATTGTCTGGTTATGTCTGACTGCATACACAGATCAAGAGTGGTCAAATAAGTAAAGGCGACAAACGTTCTTCTTTACATATTGCAAACATTTTAGAAACTATTTTGGGATACAAACACAAACAGGCTTCAAGTTATTGTTTGGAATTAGGCAGGATTAAACGCCTAATTTATCGAAACTCTAACTAACATTTCATATATCTTAGACCTCTCATTACATCATCATCCACTCCGGTACATGTACCTCCATCTGACGTTACTCAAACAAGATGAAACGCCCGTTTCGGATTACTCTGCTAGCCACAATCATATGAATAATTTTCATTGGGCTATTCAAACTAATTTCAAAACAAAGAAATAAAGGATGCTAAATGAACTGTCTGACTATGGAGAAGAGTTTGATTTGTAAGTAATACATTAAAAATAAATCTTATGGACGAGATTACTTATTTTGAAATTTTGATGGCACTAATGAGTGGTACGTGAGTTATTTTTCAGTATAGCCCATTTTTTACCAAATGTATAATACTCTTACCGGCTTTATTTACTAAGTCCTACTTTTCATTCTTTTTCATACAATGATATTTTTTGTTATAGGACTACGTTGGTTAACAGTGTAACTAAAGTTTACTAAATTTGAACCATCACACAGAGTTTTTATTTGATTTTAAATGATCAACCTA